TCAATAACTATTGACAATTAATTCTATATATTCAGAATATTATATATCTATGTTAAGAAAATACTTATTGCTATTGATCACAATTTCTTAATAAAATTTTTTTGAAATTAATAATTATTATAGACAAACTGTTCCGTATTAATATAAGATAAAGAATAATATAGAATAATATAACAATAAATTAAAAAACAACATTTTTTAAATATAAACATATCATAAATATGTGTGATTTTTGTATTACGTGACATGAAAATTATATATAAAATTATAATTCTATATATTACGATTTTTATCTAACCTAAATATCGACAATTAATTTCCTATTTTTTTTCAAACTTAAAACACATTCACGTTTTCAAACTCTACATTATATTTTTATCATTCAAAATTCAAAACATCTACTCACCAAAACGATCAGCAGAAAATAAACCACGATCAAAATACCATATTTGCTGTCATCTTAAGCCCTTGTAATGGTTGAAGAAGCAATTAATTCAAACGGCAAGAAATAAATGCGCGCGCATACGTGTTATTGCAACTGTCGATCGTAGTTTCACGGAAAAGAATTATGCACTACTGTTCTTCGAAGAACAATTTTGATCACGAATTAAATGATTCACTGTTTGATCTATTAGAAGTTTGAATATGTAAACTATAACACATTCGCAATGAAATAATATTATCACAAACACTGACGAATATTTTGAAACAAAGTAATGCTATAGATTAGGTGCGCAAATTGTGTGAAGACGAACAAGTAGCAGGTAGCGCGCAGCCTTCGCTGCTCGAGCAACAGGTAGACACTGTGGAGAGAGGCGAAGATGGGAATGGAGCGAGTGTGCCACTCAGATAGACGGATCCAAATGCCGAAGAGCGGGAATGAATGTAAAGCAACGTTCACAATGACGGATGGCGCTGAGATCTTTAGATATTCAATAGTGTCATTAGAATAACCTTAAAGAATCTTTTATAACCTAAAGAATGTTTAAACATCTTATCATTTCTTAATCTGTTTAATAATTTTGAATTGTTTTTGTTTACTTAGCAAATAATTAAATTTTATTGGAAAATAATATTAACGATGCTCTGTCTCTAATATTGGTATTAAAGAAGGTTTGATTAACAAAAATAAAATGCGAATTATTTTTTATTGACAAATGAGATCTCTGGATTTTCAATAATATTGAAATTGTCACAAAAAGTTTATAAAAGGAATTTTTATCATAAATAATAATAATAGTCTAAATTTTTACTCGTGCTTTGTTTTCAAATAATTGAAAACATTGTATATTTATTGAATGTATAATATAAAAATTGTACCATTTTCGAATTTAAATTTCAAACAAAGCACAAAAATCACTGTATATTCTCATTCTTTCTACCAAATGAAACTATATCAAGAAAACAAAATCTTTCACGAGAATTTTCGAATTCTCTCTATGAAATTATGCGTTTACGAAACCTTGAAGTGTAGAGGGGAATGGACCTTATCTGTCTGGCTACACAGTGTAACGCAGTCTCTGTTATCGGTCTTATTAATCATTCAACGAGCGTAACGTGGTTGCATGAAATGGAAAGAACGTATCGCGCAATTGTACGTAACGAGAAGGTTAACAAATTATGCGGCTAAGGATGTCATCTATCAGATCGACTCGTGTTATGATTATCGCACAATCTGTCTTTCGTGTCATGCATCTCTGATGCTCTTTCAATAATTGTATAACTAACAATCTTGTTTTCATAATATCGTTCCATATTATTATATTAACATTAACATATTATTCTATATTAACTTGAATTATAAATTATTTTTTAATTATGATATCTTTGTATTGAGATTTTTATTCAGTTTAGTAAAAAATTTCAAATTATTGTAATATTTTTTATCATATTTTTATAAATATTTCACTTAATTTTATCATTTGAAATATCTTATTTATTTTAATGTTGAAACAAGATAAAAATTGACGGACTTCTATATTCTAAAAAAATTCAGTATAAATGATAACTGTAAGAAAAAAAATATAAAAATGATAAATTTTACACTAATAAATATAAAAGTATAAGTTTTTAAAAATATAAATAAAATATTACTTTTTTTCAGTTAATTTTCTAATATCATAATTACAAAATATAAATTAAAATTTTTATTCTTATAAATCATTTTATATGCCATTTCATTTTCTATCATATGCTTCTGATACAAATTAATCAAAAATTTTGGATTTCCTGTTTTAATTTAATCATATTTTTAAAATATTTTTTAATCATTTTATTTAATCAAATTATAAAGTTTGATATATACTTGTTTTATATTCATATACTTATCTTTTTTTTACTTATCTTTCATATTTTCAGAAACATGAAGAAATAAAAATATAAAAATATATTTATAAAATTAATAAAGCATAAAATATATAAATACAACTATTTCTAAATCATTTGAAAATAACTAAATATTGAAATATTTCTTTAATAATGATCCAGATATATAAAAGTGAAATTTCACTGTTGCTTATAACGAACTCAACGATCATTTATATTTTTATTATTTTTTTGATGGTATTAAAGAATAAAGTTAATTATTCGCGAGGTTTCGTGATGATTTCATAATTATAATAAAAAGTAGGTTGATTCGTGCAGGTAGTAGAAGCGTAGCAGGTTAGATTCAATTAACAGAGTTCTCATACGTGACTAGCTAGTAGGGATTTGCTTTCTATTGAAATCGACCATCTCGAAATCTAGCACGGAATTATCTTGGAGTTAATCGAAGGAAGCTTCATCAGACTTTCGATCTATTTTCAGACGGAAACGTTGCTCAAAGTTTGCTTTATTATAATTCAGATTGTAAAGTGGATAGAGTTTTAACTGGTGTATTTATTTTTTACGGATAAATTCATATTAAAGTATAATTTATCAAACATAAATTTTCCATTTCTTATAGAAAAAAAAATGAGAATAGGAAAATATTGTAAATCGGTAATATTTGCACAACTTCTTTAGTCTACTCCCACATAGAAAATTATAATTTATTCTTCCACGAGGAACTCTGACTGAAATTCATTAGGATTCATCAATTACCTTTAAACTTCATTATACTGTAATGGTAAATACATAATAGCATAATAATATACTTACTGTACAGAAGACAGACATTTCCATATATTAAATTAAAAGTGTGTGTATATAACGAATTTTCACACCCTATAATAGTAGACACATTATACGCAACACATCTTTGTTAGAACATTATGTTTTCTCATGCATAATAATAGTAAATGTAAGATAGTAAGAGAAAATATATTATCATGTTAAAATAATATTTATATTACATGAAACACACCTTTATATTATATTAGCAAATATACAAATGAGAACACTCCTTTAATGATCATTATAATAGATGTATATGGAACACATTCTTATATATGATATTAAACATATTATATAATATTTAATATTATATTTATTGTACAGCTTATTGCTGAAATATCTTTGGATCCATGCAATATATCATGTACATTTCATAGATACATAATAAATTAAAAATATAACATATTTCTCCATATTTCATAACATATATATAATTACAATATATGTTATATATCTCTCAAAATACATCTTTATATATAAACATACTTTTCAAATGAACATTTAATTCATTATTCTCATTGTATATGAATATTATCTCTTTATTATGTCAATAAATATACTAAATTCCATTTTCTATAAACATAACTATCTATATCTCATTCTAAACATCTTTCCAGTAGTACAACATTATACTACATTCACATTGAACAACTTAAAATAAACAATTTATCATATTAAACAACTTAATTACTCAATTTGTTATCCCAATATCTACATACCATTTCCATCCTATAAATAAATATATTAATCATTACTCAGCATTCTACAATAGATAATTATATTATACAAACATTTTTTATATAGAATTCCATAATGTTGTACAAAAAAAACTTATCATCACATTGAATAACTCAATCCACCACCTTAATTGCACCCATAGGGGGGAAAAAATGAATAAACAAGAAACTCAATCATCACCACCGAGCTTTCTGATCAATCGAAAGTGCAAGCGAGGAAAAACAGCTGGTTCCAGGGTCACCGGGTTCGTTCGTTGTGAATGGACCCGTACTCGAGGAACAGTTGGTAGTGGGGGTTCAATCATCGCAATGAATTACAACGAGCCAGTCACCGAGAGTGACTCACTACGTTGCTCTAGCCGTTGCAGCTCGATAAAACTCTTTTTCTTTGCCCTTCTCGTGCCGAAGGAATTCGAGAGTGGCCGGGAACAGAAAGAGAGACTTGAGAAGCCAACGAGAAGCGGTCGCTTATGAATCACTTGAGTACGCGAGCTAAATGCTTTGTAGAAGGGACATAGTAGGAGAATAAGAGGATTTTCGTTCGTTGCTATTGCCAACCTAACGGGATTTCTAGTGGTCTTAATGGGTTGATGGTAATTCTTTGTTGTTGCAGCTGGATAAGTAAATTTTTAGATAGATGATAAATAGAAATGTTAGATAATGATATCTTTGCGTCTGGATAATATTTTAATTTGTTTCTTTAATTATAAGAATCTGGAGAAAAAGTAAATAAGTCTAGGGAGTTTAAAATTGCTAAGAGTTTTAGCAGAGATAGAAAGTATATATTTTTTATCTACATTATGGATATTTAATATATTTGTACGATTATTCTTATATTCATAAAATTTGTCTCCCTAGTTTTTATATATAGTTATAAAGAAACAAATAATAACATAAATGAAGGACAAACTTGGTTTCTGGCGAAGAAAATGCATTTTCAGTGCAGTGACCTTTAAAAACCATTAAAATTCTCAACTCTATGCTTACAGTAGAATCGAAGAACTTCGACCAGCTGCAAAAGCTACCTAACATGAAACTAAAATTAAAATTCTATTCCTGTCCCAAGCGAAATTATTACGAAACGCACTAAAATCAATCAGGTAGAGTAAACAAACCAAGGCCCGTAAAATTCGCACGACAGAGAAACTAGAAATCTAACCTAACCTTCACTGAATCTCGCATTAGTGACCAATTCCTATGTATCACTACCGTAAAGATTCATTTCACGGCGTTTCGCCAGAATTCATATCAGTTTGTTGGAGAGCCGTGAAAAATCGTAATCCACGTGATCCAGCTCCTTAAGTATCACCTCGGTTTTTTTTTTCTTTCTTTTTTCAGAGCTCTCTCGGGCCGCGCATACCGTGCCAATTATTCTCCGCACGGAAGTTCCACGGCTTGGCGTGAGAGATTGATGCGAGAGTCGATGCACTCCACGCTTATGTTTTATTCATACCTTTCACCAGGTTCGATAAGAAAATTATATTTAAAAGACGGACGCAAACTGATGTCGCGGAAAAAGAGAAAATCAATTCGATACTTGTCACTCATGGAAAGTAATATATATAGATATTATTATTGGTTTTTGATTTGCTACTTTGATTGCTTTTGTGTTTCTGTGATTATATTCTAATATATATACATATAAAAACTTGAAGAAAACTTAGGGCTACTTAATAACATTTTCATTTCATTATTCAATAGGTTTTTAAAGTGTTAAAATATAAGGAGGAAGTATATATATTGAAATTCAAAAGGAAAATCTTTGCTCTATATCCTTATTATTCTATAGATTTGCACAAAACTTCCACAGAATGAAAATAAATGGCGCACAGTGGAAAACGGAGAATGCATCCTATGTAATTTATGCAAGACCCAGAGAAGTAATTAAGTGATTGTAGGTACTAATGTGCATTTAAATATGGTCAAAAGCCTTGCCAGTTGTTATCTCAATGAAAGTCTATTTCTACGAATTGGTCTCGAGAGTACGTTTCATTGATCTATAGTATTCACAGTAATTTTTTTAATCACTTTTTCCTTTCCTTTGAAATATATACTAAAATTTGTTTTTCTTTTTTTAAATATTTGAATTAAAGAAAAAAAAAAGAAATTTATTCCATGAATTTTATAGGTCACAATATTTATATTTTTCATCTTTTAAAAATTTGATAAAATTAGTTTATGAAAAATCATAATTTTTTTTTAAATATTTAACAACTTGAGTCCATTCCTGTAATTTCAAACAATAAAGAGATTAATTTTTCTTTGATACAAATAAAAATATACAAAATTTTTATATTTTATTATTACAGAAACAAATTAGCATTCAAAAATGTGTATTCATACCGTATAAATCACAATAACAAAGGACCATTTCTCGTGAATCACTTCTTCCGATTATGAAACACGCATGACTCGATTACTTATCGAACAATGTTAACTGCTCTGCATTAAAAATCCTTCGAGAACACTACAAATCAGAGATAACTGTCAAGGTTACCAATTTCTTGTATTTAACATTAAAATAACGCTCAACAATTGCAGAGAGATATTCCATACCTTACTTTACTTTACTTTCAGAAAAAAGGAAGAGAACAAGAAAACTTTCAACGAAATCTCCTTAAAAATTTTCCTAAAAAAAAAAAAAAGAAATAAATAAAAAGAAATGAGATTATAAAACTAGTCAATAATATAATCTAAATTATAGTCTATTATATAGTCTATTATTTTAAAATCAATTTTATTAAATATACAATTCGATAATTTAATGGTAAATTCCGGAAAGATTCGATTTCACGCGATACGAATTAAATTTATGAAAAAATTCTCGGATCATTACACGTTATAAGACTTCTACGACAATACAAACTAATAAAATATCTCGTTCGCAGGACTTTGCCATTATTTACAAGCATTATTCACCACGGAATGGACGTTGAAACTGTAATTTTCGCGACGAAGGCGTGTTCCACGCCTCGATTCCGTTCTCCGCGTGAAAAAACCCTTGTACAAGCTCTATATTTATCAACACGCCGGATACTTTCGACGTTGGAGTCCAAACCGACCCTCGACATTCTTAAGAACTGGAGGATGCGTGTAGTTTCGAAAGAGACACGTGGAGGTTAAAAATTAATTAATATTCAGGTATATATGTATATATATATATATCTGATTCTCTTCAATAACTAAAGGATATATTATTATATTATTTGAGATATTATTATTAGATTTGAGTTTGAATATTTTTGCAAAAGTCTAAAGATAAATTTTAAATTTAAGTGTATAAAAATACTTTTAGCAATCCTTATAATTGTCAATTTTTATTTTGATTATAGAAATTTAATAATTCTTTCAATGATCTAGATTTAATTAAGTTATATTAAATTAAAGAATTAAAATTACTAGAAATGATGGAAATCAAATTACCTCAATGATTAAATAAATCATTTTTTTAAATTAAATTTTCCCAAATTATATCGAATATAGGTACTTTTGAAGAAATGGATTATATTTATCACTTTAAAACCTCTGAATCAGAAAGCTGTAATTATCAATCATTAATTTCATTTACCAAATTATTTCAATATGAATCAATAGGGAAATTTGCAAGAAAAGAACATAAAGTGCTGAGAAGATCGCAGTTAAATATGAATTTGAGGAAACCATAAATTGACAAAACGAATAAGTTATATCGAAAGTTATAATAATGAGACAGAGGTGAAAATTTCACCTGAGAGTTGTGGACGATCGATTCGATCGTGGTTAAGAATCATATGATTCTTTTCCCGTTTTACGCCTGGCGCCAGGCCGAAGTAGGCCATCGTGCCAGAGAGTAGCACGCGGAATACTCGTTGAAGATCATTAATTCATAGAATATGGTTTGCATACAATTTCGTTTCTTGTGATAATTTTACAAATACTAAATTATATTAATAAGACATAAGATATAAGATATAAAATTTTTGTTATTTTCAATAGATATATGATATTTACTGGAAATCTTTAGAATTTTTAGTTATTATTAAAGAACATTCTCAAAATAATAAAAATTTTATGTCAAAAAGTCAAATCAATTTATTGTAATAAAAAATTTAATTATCTTATGGAAATATTTTATAGTATAATATTTTTTCTTATTGCCACTTCAATTTAATTTGTTCTTGAAATTTTCATTTTAGGGAATTGGCATTGAAAAGTCCTAGAGAATTCTGGAAAATTAATTTTTTACAAGTGTAATTAACACGAAGATTTGTAATTACAAATTGAATGGGACAGTTATTAGACTGTTAGAAGGGAAACTTGCTATTAGTAAAAGAACTTGTGTGATTAGAGATCATTGTGAAAAATAGCTCCTCCTTTTAGAATTTGTGAATATTATTAGAATCTTAAATCTCTAGAATTTTCAGGATTTCAAATTTCTTTTCCTTCAATTCTTTCTTATCTTCAAGATCTTCAAATCTTCAAATCTTTGAAATATCATTAGACACTTTGAATAAACAAAAGAATTTTCAAATCTACATATCTTTATAGACCCTAAAAATTTTCAAAATTAAGGAAACTCAGGATGCTTTCATTGTTGATGCTTTTAAATTCAATCTTTCAACCTATTTCAAATCCAACTATTAAGATACACAAAATTAGAAAGCAATACCTCTCTAAAGGCATAAAAACCATTACTTTTCTCATCCCTAATTCCAACTACAACGTTGCAACGAATAGTTCTGTCGCTATAAACTACAATCACGCGGTTCTTATCTTTCGAACCTGTTACCCGAACCTGTCCAGGTTCACACGAACGTTCCCAGTGTACCGTACGTACGCGTATACGCACTGGTCACGTGCCGGAGCGGGTATCCTCTCCCAGAAAGCGGGGGCCCCATGCCTCGTGCCGCGGCACAGATCGACGCGGAAAAATGCGCGTGGAATAATGCGTGCAGCAGGACGGCGCCAGTGCGCTCTGCACCGCGCCCCTCCCACCCTCTCCGACGACGCCGCGCGTCTTGCGGGGAGGAGGGGTGGGGAGGATGCTCGAGAGGAAGGGTTAAGAGAGAGGCACCGATGAAGAAGCGAGTTTGTGAAAGAAGAATATGAACGTGCGGTGTAACTTGGTTATGGGGAGGGAGAGAAAAAGGTTGCGTGTAATTGAGAAAAGTGGAAGTATTGTTGGGGGGAATGGGAGGTGAAAGGGTGAGATTAGGAAAGAGAAATTGAGGGGAAATTGTTTTGTGAAATAGAAGAGAAGGCTGATAGAAAGAATTTTGTAATTTTTGGATAAATGAAATATAAGAGGAAATACAATAATCGAGAAGATGGAAATATTGTTGTAGAAAGTGAGGTCAGAAAAAAGAAATTGAGAAATGTAAGAGAGGAGATAGTATTTTTTAGAGAGTAGTGAACAAATGAGATTAAAAAAAAGGAAACGGAAAGAAAATTATATCGTGTTCAAAACAATGTACGATAAAAGATAAAAGAAATTGTCTATATAAAAATAAGGATACAAAGACCAAATATATAAGACAAAAGTAGAAAAAAAGATATAAATGGTTATCGAAAAGGGAAGAATATAGCAAGAGAAGAAACGAAGAAACATGACAAACGGATTAGGGCGAAAAAGAGGGAAAAATGAAAAAGACTGGAGAGACTGAGAGACAGGAGGAGAAAGACGAGAAGAAATGGTAAGAAAAAGAAAGCAAGTTGTCTCGGATGTCTGCTCGCCAGATCGTTTTTCTTCGAGCAGCGGCGCCTTCGTATGGGATTGCTCGTTCTGATCATTCTCCGCGGTGTTGTCGGCATGGAAAAAACGTCGATGAACGAACGCTGTTTTCATCAAATCCTTTCTATATATTAGCTGTCGAACAAGGAAAAATCGTTTGAATAATTTTGAACGTATCAACGATGGCATAATTAAAGATCAAGAAGAAATTCTTAAACAATGTTAACATTATTTTGAACCAAATAATATATTTAATAGATCTATAATCTATTTAAAAATTATTTGATAATGTTGAATTACTTATTGTTATTAAAAAAATTACTATTTCTTTTTACTAATATTTTTTTTTTATTTTAGAGAAAATAATTTAAATATAATATGAGATAAAAAGCAATACAAATTATAAATGTTATTATAATAATACTTTTTTTGGGACAATGATATTTATTGTATTATTAGAGTTACAAGAGGATTAATTTTTAGGAGAGAAACCATTAAATTTTGAAATTATGAGGGAGATGGCACTGTGACGACGGTGGATGATAGAAATTAAATTGGGTTCAATGAAGATAAGATAAATTTGTGGATCCTACTTTGCAGCAGAGATACGAAAATTGTTCTAAGAATAGCCTTCCCTAATCAAAGTCAAGTTCATTCGATAGAAAGATAGCGAGAAATTGAGATAGTCGTTACACGACTCACTAAACCGTGATGTAATTTCCAACGAATGTCTCTTCCTCTGCCTGCCTTTACATATGATTCTAATATCTTATTAAACTTCTCTTTGCTTTCGATTTTTTGCTACTTTCTACATTGCATAATATAGCAAATACTATATAATTTTATAAAAAATTACAATATGCATAATCTTCTGAATCTAAAAATTGCCATTTAAAAGTAAAAGTCATTTTAAAAAGCCAAAAGCAAAACAAAAAAAAAAAATAACACGTCACACATGAAGGCACATTCACAGAATGTTGATAACAATGAAAAGGAATTCGCTTTCGACAGAAAATTCGTAGAAAATTGTGCACGATTAAATCAAGCGAAACAACAACGAGAGCTGGGTCGAGCAATCACAGGAGCATTTACCATTAAATGGCATCGGTGTGGCTGGGCGAAATTTGTCAAGGGAAAAGGGCGCGTCACTTTCTCCGCAGTCAGGAATAATTCAACCGAGAAGAAGGAACGTTGAGCCAAAAAAGAGGAGGATCATCGGTTTAAGTAACGAAAATAACTCGAATCGATTTTTCAGTGGGGTTCCGTCGGTTTCCAAAAAAGGACACAAATGCACTCTCGTGCGCACGCGTCGTTAACCTACAATTTTAAAAGCCGGTCACCTCTTTCCACCTGAACACCCGATCTGGCAAGTGGAACGTCCTGTTCACACAGGTGCACTTGGATCGAGAAGATGGTGGCGTTTTTGAAACGTAGCGTGTATTTTTCTAGTTTTTGAATTTCGCGCCAATTTTCTGGGAAATGAAATTGAATTGTGGAAAAGACAGAATTTCAAAGAAAAACTTTTGGAAGAATGAAAACCTTGATATTTGTTAAATATAGAAAAATAAAAAATAAAATTTTTTAATTCATATTAATAGGAATTAATACTTCAATCAAGTTCTCATTATATTAAATTGTATTATAAATTATTACGAGTTATAATATTTTATAAGAATTTTTAATATCTACATTTATTCCGATCGAAGTTTCCATTAACTTGTTAAATAAAATCAAATTTCAAAATCGATTTATCCAGAAGATTTCAAATTTCCCGCCAATTCATGAAGGACTTGTATTCAAACTTTCTTTTTTTATAATTCACATTATGAAAGAATATTACGAGCCAGAAGCTAGTGCTTGAAGAAGGTAATACGGGTATTTTTAGTGTTTATAGGATAACAGAGGGGTCTGGCATGATAGCGTTCGATGTCAGGAAATCGCAAATAGTCTGGCTGACTACTGAATGGCTCTTTCAGCGCCTTCGACGGGACATTCAATAAATACGACAATTAGAAACGTCGCGTTCGTTCGAATGTAATTTTTATTACTTGCCAACCAGCCGGCTACTAGCAGGAATATTTAATAAATACTTGGAACATGCCCCTAATAAATTTATTCGTTTCACTTCCGAACGATTAGGCTTTCTTGCTAACTTTTCGAACAATTCTCTTTCAACGAATTTTTATAATATATCATTATTCTTATTCTAACATGTATAATTTCCACTTTACTTTTATACTTCAGGATCATTCTTTATACGATTTACTATATAATTTTTTAAGCATGATAATGAAAATGAAAATATAAGTTTTTATTTATAAGAATTATTTTTGTTAGAAATATCTTATTGTAATCAGAAAAAAAGGAATAATTTTATATACTCACTTGGATCATCCTATATTAACATTTAATGAGCAATATTATTTATACAATCATCTATTCTTAGAAAGGAAAAGACTGGTTCAACGTCCAACCTCGTGAGAAATAGAAAATCGATCGCCGATGAAATTAGCCTAAGCACAGCTTCCGAGTAACTCGATCGGTTCGTTACGTGAAGGTTCACGTCCCCTAGGAATACTCTCACTTTTATCCTTTTTTTTTTTTTGTTTCCTGACAAAGGAGGAATAATGAAAGTAATGTATTAATTTCATTTTGAAATTTTAAATAAGAAAAAAGATTTATAAGGATAAAAGTTTTATAGAAATAAAAAAAGTGTGTAAATTCAAATAAAAGAGTTGTTTGTTTTTTTTGAAGATAGAATCGAGATCTCGTTAAAGATCCTGGCCACCGGAAGAATGGTGACGATTAGGATTGCTAATACCTAGAGATAAATGTGGCGAGCTAACTAATTAAGGACGCCGATAGATCACGCTTTGGCTAATGTCGAATTTTGCATATCGCCATTCTATGGGAAAGATCGATTGTAATGCACCCAATCAGCTTTGGTTAATTAGCACCCAAATTGCTCCTAAAGAAGCAACCAATTGCTGAAACACTTCCTTTATTTTGTTTTGTCTTTATATTTTTGTTCTGTGAGAAGAAAAAAAAGAAATGATGATTATAGTTGAATATCATTCGAATTAGATTAATTATTGCAAATATTTTTAATTATTTATACTGTGAAATGATTTTAATATATATTCAAATTATAATGTAATAATGAAATAGGTAGGAAATTAATATAATAAATATTATATTAATAACCCTTGATATCTGAATTTTGATAAATGTCCAAACTTTTTATATTCAAATGTTTAATTTTTCAAAATATTTTAAAAAATTGAAATTTTTATATTTCAAATTTAATATGGTTTTTTGTAAACATATTTGACAAATAATTTAATTTTGACAAGTTTTAATAAATGAAATTAATAATAATTTAAAAATTTCTAATCCTAATATCCAAATCAGAAAAAATTTTCTCACCTTAAAATATATCTTTAATATCGTTCCAAGTTCAATATAAAGTTATCCCATTAATATAATATGATAATGATAATTATTGTTTCTTCAAAGTGATTTCTAAACTGACGATCGATGACAATAGCTGCGATGACAATAAAGTTCACTGAAAGACCAGCCCAACGATTATCCTTCGTTATCAAAGCTAGTTATCCCGTTGATCCATAAAAAAACCAACGATGGGTGAACGTTGCAATTCAATTGTTTAAAACCTACTTGCAACTCACTAATTGCAAAACAAACGCGCCGATTCCGCGTAAATGCGCGTATGTGCTTTCTAATTACACGCGTCAATCCATCGTTCCACCACATTAGCTCCGTCAAATATCACGAATGGAATTGCGGTTATGAATTTAATTCTCATATTTAGCGTGAAGGAAAATAGCATGGCGTTTAATCTTCTTTTCTTTTTTCTTCCTGTCGCAATATTGTTGCCTAAGAGATATCCGAGAAAATGAGTCTTGAATGAGGTTAGGAACATCAATTTCTTGCATAGCTAAAAATTATTATACAATTTTTAATTTTTCAAGAATCAGTTAGATCCATATTCATAGATCAAAAATCAACTATATTATAAAATTAGAACAAATAAATATAATAATATTATACTATGATATTACAAAATAAAAATTGTCATATCAACAGATTTACTATTAATACGCCATCTACGATTTAAACGATACTAATTGAAGGTTAAATATTATAACAACTAATAATATGAATCGTCCTGTACAAAATAAAAATGTCTTTGAATCGACAATATCTCAAATTAAATCAGATTATTTAAAAACGTATGCTAATAATAAATCCGACATCTTTGTCTCATTTCTATTATTAACAATCGACCTTAATTTCACGTACAGTTCGAAAATGTTCGTCGCGAGCGCCGTAGGGCCACAGTTTCCAAGTAGTCACTGGTTACCATCACGTTAATCGTTCTCCTAGTCTTACGTATATGTCTAAGAACAATGACAGCCAATTGTCGTAATTAGAACGTTGAGTTTACCGTACGAATCAAACGCAGCTGTTCGCTCGTGCATACGTATACGTATATGTGATGCATGCTTGCAGAAATTTTCGTAGAGAACAGGCGCCCTCTGCTGGATAAACCGATCCCTTCGCATCCGCCATTTTTCATCTCTAAGTTGATATTTAAGCATCTTTGGGAAATATTATATATATAAATATATTTTAAATGTATATAAAATTTAAGTGCATCTTTTAAAGATTTAATAATATTTGAATTATTGAAAGTTGATAATTTTTTTATTTTAATTTATTTAATATATCAAGAAGATATTTTAAAGAACTCGATTAATACGAAGCAATATTATATATAACCTAAAAATGATCTCCTTTTAAATATCTTTGATCTAATAATAAATTTTAGTAACAAATTCTAAAGACAGACACATGCATATCTCAATTATTTATATTTTAAGAACGAATACATTAAAAATATTTTTTAATTTCCAAAGTGAAATTTAAAATTCTTTCCAGAATAATTTCGAAATAAAAAATAACTAAAACCAGCATTAAATTGCATCACAACACTTCAAACTAGGAATTCTAACCTCGTAAAATATATATTTCATCTTGCAACATAGACAAAAATAAATGAAAATTCATGAATTGATTAAATTTCTATTTCCTAATGTGAAATTTGTTTTATTTCCTTTTCACTTTTCAGCAAAGAGAATAAGTAGTGAATATTCTGCTATTTTGTAACGAAGAAGTCGATTGTTATAACGAAGGTCGTGGTGTTTCTGGCCTCCAACGCGGTACTCGTGGCTTTTCGTCGGCTTCCACAGAGATATTAGCTAAGCGAACGGCTACGTACATATATGGAGGTGAAACAGCCGGTTCACAAAGGACATTCCATTCCATCTTACGCTAGCTGCATTAGCTTTGAACCACCATGGTCCCACAATCAGAAGGTTGAAACGTGTGTCTCCAATAGAAGAATTCAGAGCTTTCATTCCAAACAAGAATTTTATAAAGAAAAGAAAAATTTTCATTAACTTTCTAATTGAATTCTATTCATTTTAATTATTTAGAACTTGATAAAATTTGTTGAATAGAATGTATTGAAATATTTAAATATTTAAAGTTATTTTTTAATTTTAGTAAAATTTCTTAAATGGATAGTCAGAAAAAAACAAGATTCGAATCTACATTTATAAATTTATAAAATTTATAAAAAAATTATTAAAAAAATTACATCTAAATGAAAAAAAATTATATTTGATTACTAATATAAGGTTTATACGAAAGGTAACTTAAATTAAATACAGAAGTACTTTTGTTAAAGATGATTAGAAAAAAAATATGGATCACTAATAGTTCTAATTATCAATATTTCTACTTTCACATTAACAATTTAAATAAATATGATTTCATAAGATCACAAGTTTGATTCAGTAATCTAACTTAACCTATATTTACGAATGATCCGATTTTTATTAATCTTTAGTCATTATAAAAATCAGAATTTCTTTGTTTCGTAAATTTCACGCCCAAAAATTTATTTAAAATAATCTTAAATAATTAACAACAATGGAAAATAAATTTTTCATTTTTTGTGATATACAAAAAACTAAAAATATTTTTAAGAATCAAATACTTTTAAAACAATTAATATAAAAAATTAGAAAAATATAAAATTTCTAAAAGAATAAAATCTAACCTACATAACATTTTCATTAATAAAAAAACTTTTTTATTTTAAGAAGTTTCAAAAATATTATATATTACAGTCCTAAATCGAATTTTTTATGAAAAATTTGATGAACTATGACAAATTCTTTCTAATCTTCACCGAAAATTCTCCATAACACATACGGTATCTTGTCTTTAGTTGTCGATTGCGAAACTTATGTTCTGTTTACAACGCAGCTTTCTGACCAGTGTGTAATATATGCGCGCGTGAAAGTGGTCGTCGTATTCATAGTCGAAGTTGTCGTAATGTCATAAAGGGAAGGAAAAAAGACAGACGCGTTTAGTAATGACCTAATATTAAGTCGGCATTAAATTTGAACGAACAGAGACCGTCTAACGATACCGAACACCAAGCTATTCGATATTGCAAACTAACTGGCAATGGCAGAGATTCTCGTGTTCGATTAATCGTACACAATTATTTATGTGACAAGAATTTAAAAAAAGAAAAAAGTGAAAAGTAATAATAAAAAAAAGAAAAAATATAAAAATAATAATAAAGAAAACTTTTTTCGGTGATATTAATGAATCTGTGAGTACATTTATATATAATTACATAGCTAACCTATAAAATTTTATCCCAATAATGTTACCAATTTGATTTTGATCCGTTATTACATATTATAAGTTAAAATTTTTAAATCTTTGAAATATTCATTATGTTTAATTATTTATTCATTTGTTTGTAATATAACATTTTGAATACACTTTTATTTTTCTTTTTTCACCAGTTTTGATTCTATTTAATTGGACAGAATTAATTACACATACAGGATGTTTAAAAAATAAAGTTTAGAAATTTAGCCACATTGCCTATCATGCGGTATACGCCACATGCTGAACTTTCTGTTCTGTTGTAAGATTATTTTCGTTACTAAATCTGGCTTAACATGTTTTGTGAAATCATGCATTGATGTTTAAGTATCAATAATTTTTGTTTCATACTAATTTTAAGTATTGTATATTTTCCTTACCAAAAATGACTTTTGCAATCTTATAAATTAGTTTCACGTTAAGTATATATATATATATATATTCATAACATAATAGAATTAAAATAATACTGAAAAAATGCAAATATAAAATAAGATAGAAATATTTGAAAATATTAATATTTATCAATGTATTATCAACATCTTTTAATTAAATGTCATTTTTAATTAGAAAGTAACATCTTATCATTAATTTATTTGAATTAATCAACATAAAATAGTTTTATTATAAAGATAAAAATGTATCTATTATCGGAGCACTATTTATTAAATATATATAGAAATCATTACATTATATTAATAGAATTTTAAATAAAATTTAACATCAATAAAATAGAACTTGATAAAAATCATATAATTCTTGTTTTTTAATTAACAGATAATCTTATCTCCTTTTTTCTCCCTCCCTCTTAGGAAGTATACTAAGTGGGAATGTCGCATAGTGGGAGAATTGTGCCGCGTGATGGGGAGAATCAACTCGGTACTTTGCCTCAAGGGATTGAAATCTTCGACGCAGACTATAATCGCCACAATTTGCATGCAATATTAAAACGTTCATGCTAATTATATATCGCGTATATAATAAAAATCTGGAATAGAAAACATTAAGTTCATCGAACCAGAGAAGCTAACAGAGGCTAACGTTCTCTTTTCCCAGAAGAATAGTGGTAAAAATCGTTCGCCTTTGGAGTTTTTCGATTTTTCATCGGTTGCGACAACACGATCCCAGTATCGATGGGACGAAATTAATTTGCAAACAATCGCACGAATTTTCACCGTGTTAAAATCACTTTCTCCCTTTCTGCCGTAACTCTGTTTCTCGAGCTTTCTGCCCCGCGATTTTTATTTCTTATACGAATACATGTATTCACTTTACGAAATTCAGCATCATTTTTCAATCTTCATTCGTGAAAGTTCCAACAACAATCACACATCGACACACACGTATATATATATATATATATATACACACCGCGTTTGAATTTCGACGCTTATAAATCAAACCTCTCCCCCTTGAATGCATGTTTTAACGTATAAATATCAATTAACGATCGAACGAACGAAGAGAATTGTTTTCCAAGCGTCCAATCGAGCGTAACAATGAAACAGTATATTAAAATCGTATGCACGCAGCTAATTTCTCATTCTACCGGCTCATTATGTCCGGCAATGCGAGACCAGTATGAATGAAACATAAGGCCCGATGTTTATCATCCTCCACCGACCAAGTTCAACCCCGCTATCTATGAATATTCATCGAGGACGATCATGATGATGATGATAATAATAATAATAATAATAATTAAAATCTCGACGAAACAAGGAGGCGAAAAATAAGTCACGATGATCGAAGAAACAGGGATCGCCCACGATCCATCCTTATTATCCACCGCGAATTATATTACGATTAACATAATTCCGTCATCCGTCCTCTCAATGCATATAGAACAATTACGTACGTGAGCAATTGTCGCAAGAAATTTCTACAATACCTTGAACAGGTATATTCGACGATTGTTATTACATATTTTTCAACTTGGATAAACAGTTGTTCAATTTTTAATTAAATCAACAACCACATTTCGTTACAACATCAATAATATAATTCTAAATAATATTACCTTCGTAATACCTCAGGATCTCTCTTCATTTCTCCATGTTCGAAAAAAAAAAAAAACTATCTACCTTTATTGATTTATTGATTTTTATCGGATTAAAATAGGGAAAAAAAAAAAAAAAAAAAAACAAACACCCACGATTTTCCTCTCATTACCTCTATCTGTATACGCTCGAAACACGATTCTTCACGATTCTCTGAGACGTGGATCTCGCGATCAATGGCGTCCACCAAGAAGAGAAAACCGGTACAGAGGAGGATAGGCGTCGGACAGCACGATAAATACTGAGGATGGCACCAGCGCGGGAGACTTCTAAGCCTTGTGCACCGTTTCTGTCTCGCATAAGGTTCACGTGGTACAGGAATACCACCGCGGAGTCACGGGGTGCGGTCTCGCGGCACTTTTCTGTCTCCGCTCCAACTAGCGGAGCAGAACCGGTCCCCTCTTCGAACGAACGAGTCCACACCACGAGTTGTGTCTTTCTTCCTCTCCTTCCCTCTCTCTCTCTCTCTTCTTCCCTTCGATGACTTCTCTCGAAGTCCACGTTCGCGATTCTCGTGGATCAGCTGCTCCTCCGTTGTTGCACCCACACGATCTCTTGCGTCAGCGCCGAGATCGATTTTTCCCTTCGTTTCAACGAAACGATTCCACGGATTTTCGTGGATTCTTTTTTTTGGAATTTTTCCAATTTTAAAATTAGGATTCAAATTTTACGTTCCTTTTTTTGTTTTTGTTTAGAAGGGGGATTGGATATTTTTTACAATTTTTTAAGTTCTTTCTTAAACGGATTTTGATCGTTTTGATGAAGCAAAATTTCGATTATTTCGTGGATTTTTCCGATTTGCTTTCACTTG